GGGTGTGGGCAGGGGCAGGGTCGCAGGGGCGGGCCTGAGGGGGCGGGGTTGCAGGGGTGGGTGGTGCGGGAATGGTGGCGGCCGGGGACGGGGTTGCAGGGATGCGCTTGGGTCTTGCCGGGGCCAGGGGCGCCCGCGGAAGGGGGTGCTCCAATGCGGGGGCAGGATTTTTAATTCTTTTTTTTTTAACCACCCTCCTGAACCCCAAAACCACTGTTGCTCAGCGCTTACGTAGGTTTTAGACCACGGGGGAACACGCTGAGCAACTTTCCCTGTTCACAAAAATTGGTTACCCCCCATCCCCGCACCTGTCCCCCCGCGGGAATGAGGGGACGGCACCCCAGGTACTGGGATTTCTGTGGGGATCCCCACGTGAAAACCCTGGCTGGCAAAGCCAGCCATCAGGATCTGGAGACCCCGAGCCTCCAAAGAACCCGGACTTCCCGACATTGCCAGGGGCAGGTAGTGGTCGTTGGAGGAGGAAAATGGTGGGAACCAGCAAGGGGACTTACCTTTGGCTAATGTGGACATCTTCCTGGTTGGCTAAGGTGGACATCTCCCTGATTGGCTATGGTGGACATGTCCCTGGTTGGCTATGGTGGACATCTTCCTGGTTGGCTATGGCGGACATCTTCCTTGCTGGCTATGGTGGACATATTCCTGGTTGGCTATGGGGGACATCTCCCTGGTTGGCTATGGTGGACATCTTCCTGGTTGGCTATGGTTGACATCTTCCTGGTAGGCTCTGCATGAAGAAGGGCCCCCATTGGGGCATCGGTTAGACATGGACTGCCGATGACATCCGGAAGACGGGCATGGGAGTAGTGAGAGGAGAGGGTATGACAGCACTTGTGCTGTCCTTGAACATCCGAGGTAGCTCAGGATGAACCGCCATAGCTACCGTCTTACCCGAACTGAACGCCTGGTCATTATAGCTGTATTTGGGACAAGTTCCAGTCCACATGCAGCCATAATGACCGAGCATTCTAATTCCGGTGTAGGCCATAGTAGCCAATACCAAGTGGAGAAGAGAGGAGGCGTGAGCTGAGGGAGAACTCCTCCATGTCTATCAGGTCTGGCAGTAAAGGGGTTAATCGGAGATTGACTCTTGTTCATTCATTCCTTGTTACAATGGTATTGTTATTTATTATAATTAACAAAATGTCGAAGGCGATGAAGAAGGACAGCTGATGACCACGGGATCTGGAGGGAGAGATAACATTGGTTCCAACTTCTTTCTTCTTCTTCTTCTTCTTCTTCTTCTTCTTCTCTCCTTAGCTCATTCTTCTTCTACTCGAGTTGTCTACGATTGCCATTGTCCCAGCTTGTCTCACACTTGAGTCTTGCAAAATGACTGGGACTAAACCACGGCAGAGCAGACTGTGGAAGAAAAACAAAACAAAAGAAAAAATCAAACACATGGTACCATAATATACCAAAGAAAATAGATAAAAGCAATGGAAATGCCATCACAATGGGGGGCCAGCACCCACGGACTCGCTGGCAGACGAGGGGAAGAGGTGGAGGGAAAGTCCATCGTGAAGGCCAAACTCGACACACTACCCATGGCCGTGTGGATGGGCCATGCTGCATGCTTATACATAAGCGCACTCAACACGAGAACTCCTGTGTCTTCTTTCTTCCCCAGGTGTCATCAACCTAAAAGCTTTCCTTCAAGAATTAAAGCGATTCTGACATCCACCGTGTGTGTAGTCACCGTGTACACATACCTCCACAGAAAATCAAAAGAACTGCTTGCTGTGTGACCTTCTGCAGCAGGGGGGGAACTCCTCTTTCTTCTGTCTTCCCCAGCTGTCATCAACCTAAACACTTTCCTTCAGCGAATGAAAAGAGTCGTGCTCGAAAGAATTACAGCGCTTCTAACATCCGCCAATGCGCGTAGTCGCCGTGTACACATGACATCCACAGAAAATCAACAGAACTGCTTGTCTTCGGAACTTCTGGAGCAGGGGTTACAGGGCTCAGATACTTGATATATCTGACAGACAGTGCTGCAGAAAGCCAAAGCCATTTCTGACACCCCATTTCGCACACAAACCAAGCCTTGGGCCTGGTACTTCAGACGCCAGGAAAAGTACACACAACTGAAAGAAACAACAGAAATGAAAAAATATAGTAACCATTGACTGACCTGCATCACAGTGCACAAGCACAAGAATAACCCCTCGCAATATTGTGCAACTGCATAAATGAGCCATGGAAGTGCTCTTTTGAAAATGGTGCCCATTCCAGCTTCTGCTGATCCTTTCGCTGAAGGTATTGAATCTATCGACGGCAAAGAGCCATCCACATGATGGAAAACATACACACTTGGAAACAACAACAAAAAAAAAAAACGTTGGCACCCGTCGTCGTAAGGTCCCCCAGCAGTTCATCTGCCCCATGGATCATTGGACTCCTACTGCTCGCTAACGCTCAAAGACAACAATGATGGGTGCGGTTCATGACTCTTCAGCACCCCCTTTCTCCCTCCCCCCCCACTAGTTCTTGCACTGCTCATGAATCGCTTGAGTTTCTATCTAGTGTGTGCATGCCGAAAGAATGGAAGAACCCACACCGGATAAAGGCTTGAAAGCGTGCATGCTGCTGGAGTGGAAGGCTAACGGAATGGGCATATTTGAGCACCCGAAGTAGGGCCCAGAAGCGAGACTGCCGGAAAGGAAGTCAGACACTTGGTCAGTTCGAGCGAGCAGGGACCACATTTCGGCGTATATAAGAACGGGGATCTCTGAGCGCGGTGAACAAGAAGCCAAATGAACGAATACATCCCATGATAATGCGGGTGTGTGGTTCATTCAAGAATATTGAAAAACTGCAGCTAACATAAACTTAGGCAAAGCGAATCTTACAGCGTCACAGCGTTTATGCCCTGTTAACCTGTAACAGTTCAACATCTCTTCGTGGTGGACAAGGCGTAAAATTGCGAACAGTTTGTGTAGACAGACCTAGGATGCAAATTTGCAAAACCAAGCATAAACTGCTGCATAATACAATAGCCAAATCAGTATCGAAGTCGAAGGCGTAAAGAAGTGTATCCTATCAACTGTTGCAGGTAAACGCAGATATGATAAATGATGGCGAACCAGACTCGGACATTCCAAAATGGAGTATATACTAAATATAATGGAAATGACAGGGACAACGGACTAGTCGACCCCTTGTAGCATGTTCTGGGAGTGATAGAGACAATGGACTATCGTAAAAATATCTACAAGTGCATGCTTTGATGCTCAGCACGTGATGGTTCCGCGCATTTGCCCCTCAGCAAAGACTCGACGACCATCTCTCTCGCATGGTGTGATGACACTATCCTGTACTGTGCCCCGGCACTCCAGCAGACAGTTTGTGGGACAGTGCCCCTTACTAATTACAGCGCACATTTGTACTCTGGCAGTGACTCAAGCCATGCTTTCTCTCAGACCCTTCACTATAGCGTAGGACCTACCTGTATTTTGTCCTTGACTGATTCTTGCCACCCTCCAGGCACGAAGTGCCGCAATTCCGACATCTCCACAAAATTGCTAGACACGAAGTGGCGGCCAGAACTGCATCAGAATGTGTCCTTACGGCACAACTGCCCCTTTGCGAACACTGCACAGCAACCTCTGCGATTGTCCCGTGCTGCACCTGGCATAGCACAGGACCTACCTGTATTTTGTACTTTGACTGATTCTTGCCAGCCTCCAGGCACAAAGTGCAGCAATTCGGACATCTCCACCAAATTGCTGGACACGAAGTGGTGGCCACAACTGCATCAGAATGTGTCCTTTGGCACATTTGCCCCTTTGCGAACACTGCGCGGCAACCTCTGCGATTGTTCCTTGCTGCACCTGGCATAGCGCAGGACCTACCTGTATATTGTACTTGCCAGCCTCCAGGCACAAAGTGCAGCAATTTGGACATCTCGGCCAAATTGCTGGACATGAAGTGGTGGCCAAAACTGCATCAGAATGTGTCCTTACAGCACATTTGCCCCTTTGCAAACACTGGACAGCAGCCTCTGCGATTGTTCCATGCTGCACCTGGCACTCCAGCAGACAATAACAGGACTCTTGCTTCTTCCTACTGACAGCACTGGCAGGAGGTATCCCCTGACACCATCACGCAACTCATCGTGAGTGTGCACTTGGCCTTTGGCACAGAGGACTGTGGCAGCTTCTCCAGGGTCAAGCCATGCTGTTCATGGTGAACGGTTAGTGGGACGGTGCGGCTGAATACCGACAACACTGCCACATGTTGCTTTGCAGCGCCTAACTGAAACTGATGGTTAAGACGATGAGGAAAAACAGTGAGGAGAGAGAAGAGGTGAGACTCACAAGCAGTCCACAATATGCAGATACAATCGAGAACGCCCCTGAGATCGCAATATCCTTACTGCCCGCCATGCTGGTCCCATCATCTTGCACTGGTTGCACTGGCAACAGTCGCTGTGGTAGAAATTTAGTAGGGACGTTTGACAAAGGAACACCTGGAAACGACTGCAAGACAACAAAAACACACGATGACAACAAGGATACGGAATGATGTCAGGATGGAGAAGATATCATGAGCATCCTTTTGGATGTCTGTTAAAACTAGAACCACCCAGAGAGGGAAAACATTACCCTGGCCCTAAAAGATCACCACTGGTCGTCTGGCACATCGTGCTGCCCTTATCATTTGGCTGGTTACTGTTCCTTGCCGTTCAGTGCCTTGTTCCTTTGATGCTCACTGTCCTGGCTTGCTGCCATGCTCCCCGCAGCTTGTCGTGCTTACCGTGTATTGCTGCCTTGTTTCCCTCCTGACTTGCTGCCCTGCTGCATGCCTTGGCTTGCTGCCTTGTTCACCTAATTCTCACCGTGGTGCCCTGTTGCTTGCCTTGCCTTGCCGCCTCATCGCCTTGCTGCTCAGTGCGCTGCCCTGCAGCTTGCCTTGTCGTTTCACCCTGCTGCTCCATTTCCTTGCAGTTCGGTGTGCTTCCTTGCTGATTGCCTTGTTGTTTGGCTCATCATTCTATGCTTGTTCTTAAGTACCTTGTTCCCTTGCTGCTTGCTGTGCCTGCTGCTTGGCTTGCCTTCCTGCCTTGGTGCCTTGTTTCTTGTCGTGCTAGGTTGCCTTGCAACCTTCCTGCCTTGCTGCCCTGCCACTTGCCTTGTTCCCCACCTGCCTTGCTGCTCATGTGCTGCCCTGCTGCATGCCTTCCCTTGCTGCCATGTTCCTCTTTGCGTCTCATCCTGCTGCTCTGCTGCTTACCTCGCCTTGCTGCTCAAAGCGCTGCCACACTGCTTGCATCGCTGCATTGTTGCCCTCCTGCCTTGCCTATTAGCTGTTCATAGTGCTGGCCTTCCGCTTGCCTTTTGCTGGCCTGTTGCCTACCTGCCTCCACCGTGTCCTCCAGCCCACGTGCGTCCCTGTTGCTTACCGTCTGCTGCCTTCTTGCCTTGCCCTTGCCGTGGTGCTCGTCATGTCACCCGTTGGCTGTCCACTTACAACAGTGGTTCAGCTTCATGATGAGCTGGTGCAAGTCCTTCATTACTCTTCTTTTTTAGTACTTTACTCAGCTTCTTCAAGTGGACTTCGAACTCAGGTCTGTATTTCAACAGTTCAGGGGTGTACCAACTGAGCTAGTCCAGTTGGTATACCCTCATTACTCTTGTCTTTTCTTTCCGTGCCGTATCCTCATGTCTTGTCTGCTTTTATTCGTTATATCTGCATATGCGTGGGGATCTATTGGAATAGTCCTGTCAGCCCAAGTGAATATCACACAGACACACATGCGTGTGCGTGAGGCACAGTAGAACAAATAAAATGGGTGCCCCAAGGAAAGCCGAAGTATAGATAGTAAGAAAGGGGATATAATCATATAATGTATCTATTGTGCTTAATGTTGCTTGCGATCGAGGTAAGAGTTCCGTAAAACTGTTTCATTGTTGAATTGGCTCATCTCTTGTGTGCTTCATTGTCTGCAATAGAGGTAATGGATTTACTTATCTGGGTGGACCAGGGGCTGACTAGCACACATATTATGTCGGATGCAGTCCCCAGAGTGTATGGCTTGCAGGAGTGCCCAAGGTGCTTTCTGCTGTAATGCATCTGCTTAAGCGCGTGTGGTATGCTTTCAGCGGATGCCAGCCTGTGCTTTGTTTCCCCTTACAGCCTCTGGGTTGTTTGCGTGGACAAGGTGACCCTTGTCACTCGGCTCAGCGAGCATCTATAACACACATACATGTCGCTCAGAGTGCATGGTTTGCAGGAGTGCCCAAGGTGCTTTCTGCTATAATGCATCCGCTGACGCGCGTGTGGTACGCTTTCAGCGGATGCCAGCCTGTGCTTTGTTTCCACTTACAGCCTCTGGGTTGTTTGCGTGGGGAAGGTGACCCTTGTTACTGGGCTCAGAGAGCTTGTGCCGTGGGTGACATCTCCCCACGCTGGTTTTCTGAAACATATGATTGGGGGTGGTCAGGGTGTTTTTAGGTGGTAAGGCCCCTGGTGCTGCATGAGGGTCCCAGGTCCTGGCTTTCTGCAGCAAGTCAGTACCGCTCTCGGCTGTTACATTACGTCTGTGGTTGGGCATGGAAAGAATGTGGCCCTGTGGGTGAAATTCCCCTGGCTGCAGTTTTCTGTGCACATTGTTTGCAGGAGTGTCCATGGTGTTTTTGTGTAGTAATGCTTCCTGTGATGCATGGGCATGCTTTTGGGAGATGCAGGTCTGTGCTTTGTTTCCCCTCAGAGCGGTTGGGTCCGTTGAGGAGTGTGTTCGTGTTTTGTTTACCATTAAGGGCCTCTAACAGTGGTGTCTTTTCTTTCTTTCTTTCTTTCTTTTTTTTTTTTTTTTTTTTTTTTGTCTTTTCTTTGATACATGGAAAGTTGGAAACAAAATTTCAAATTCGATTACCCGGTAACTGTGTTCCCCAGAGAGAACATATGCCATATGCAGATTATATCTTGGCATAAGAATTGAGTTCAGTTTTGTCATTCCTCAAAAAAAATAATGAAAAAAAAAACATGTTGGAGGCTTGGTAAACCATGCCCTCACTTCTTTTTTTCTATTTTTTTTTTACATCATGTGCAAGGAAAATGAGCAACAGCGAGATGACAATATCCAGAATACACAATCACATTGAAGGCCAGATAGTATCACAGTGTCCAGAAAGCAGCATTGCACCAATATGACACCAATGGAGAATCGTAACACTGAAAACCAATGCCAATGAGAGATTGCTCTCACCACCACCGACACAAGAGTCCAGGACCTTCAGCCTACTTGGCTCGGCGCCCAGCCTACTTCCTACACAGCTACTGTCTGCCTTCTAATTGACAATGCAACTGTTGACGTCAGCAGCCCACGAAGTACTTGAAGATGTCGCCCATGCAGACCATCGCCAATACCAGGTATGTGCCCTCACATCATCATCATCATCCTTCTCTCTCTCCCTCGACTTACACCCACGTCTTCCCTCTGTACACCCGAAGACCACCCCTGCGCCTCACTGTAGTCCAAGCCCATCCAGCTATGGAGGCTGGGCTATGGCGCTGCCCTCAGCCGCGCCCTCCTTCCTGCACGACCACGCGCGCTAGCAGCTTGCCTCTCAGCGCCAGCAGCAGGCTACGAGCGTGCGCTCCAGCAGCGCTGCCGCAGCATGCAAGAGTTGAATTTTCCTCCAAGCCGTGAGCTCTTTCCTACATGGAAAGAGCCTGCCTGCCTTCACGGCCTGGCTGGCCTGGGCCTCGGCCCAGAAGCTTCCGGTAGGCCCCGGGAGGCTGCGCCTCTGTTGCAGACTGATACATGCCCAGTTGGGCAATGAATGTACAGCCAAGGATCCGCAATTGTGATAAAAAGGACTGAATGAACAATGCAGTGGTAGTGGAATCTCAACAAGCAGTGTTCATCCTGATACGTACAAAATGGCACTTTGTAGCGCAGTGGAAGACTCGGATATAAGTCCTGACTTGACCGGGACTGACACGGCATCCCATTATACATCACCCATGTGAGAGGAGGAGGAGATACCAAAGTGTTGCATACCGTAATCGTGCAAACCAGAACAAAGACTGACCTCCCTCACATAGTACAAGACAGCACAGCGGAATGCTAGGATACCAATGATCAACCCAATCAATGTCGCAATGCAGACCCAACATACATCATCATCGTTGCAAGGTGTGAAGGGCCTGGCGCTACACACAGGAAGAATGCGCCAGGTCCGGACCATACACAGACGAAGAGGAGGGGATCAGAGGAGGGGGAAGGTGGGAATGTCGTCAACACCAAGTCTTCGGTACAAGTCCCAAATAATCCCTCGTTCAATGTCTGAATCCCAATGTCGAGTCTGAATCCAAATGTCGTCAAGTCCCAAAGTCACCAATCTCGCTCCCTCTCATAGGCAGATACTGAGAAGTCAGGTAGGGAGAGGGTGAGGGAGAGATGGTGGACTTAGAAGAGGAAGAAGAACTCTCTCTCTCTCTCAAAGTCCAGTACTAACCTGTGAAGGTGGCGCCTTGTTGCAGGTACATCGAAGACCAAGCTGGAGCTATGGCGCCACAGGTAAGTCTCCCTGGCCTCCGCCAACCATCTCTCTCTCTCTCCAACGCTACTCTAGCTCCTACTAGCGCCCAGCGCTGAAGACTACTCCTAACGCTACTACTACTGCAGCGCTCCTCCAGAGTGCTGCTGCCGAATCCTGAAGACTGCCTCCTGCCTCCTGCACGTGAAGTGCCTGGGAAGTCCCTATGAACTACCTGCAACCTGCAGGGCGGGCCAGTCTTATATAGTGCTGGCCCGTCCAGGAGGCTGCTCTTGCCAATGCCAAAACGTGCCAGACCCTGGCATTGAAGTTCAACAAAGGTTGTCTTGAAAACAGGCCCAAAATGGCCTGTGCTAAAACCCTGGTCTGGTGCCTAAGTTTCAGGGCAGGTCAATCTCATGAGGGCCTGAAATGGCCCTCCGTTTCAGGCTGAAAAGACTCAGGGCCTGGAGGGCCCTTTTTTTGGTTGAAACGACACAAGGCCTGTAGGCCCTTGTTTTCAGGCTTTCCGGCTGAAACGACACAGGGCCTGTACGCCCTTGTTTTCAGGCTTTCAGGCTGAGCAACAGAGGGCCTGAAAATGGCCCTCGTTTGCAGGCGCAGCATGTAACACAGCCACTGGGCCTCGTTCAGTTGGGCCTCCCAACTGTCTGTGTATGAGGCTGTGATTCTCACCCAGGGCCTGCATTTTCGGAAAGGCCTGGAAGGCCGTGGAATGTCTTTGCTGCTCGGCCTGTGTTTTCCTCAACCAACTGGCGCGTCACAACTGCCTGAACCCCGAATACGAAATTGACAGCTGAGGGCCTCTCGTGATTTGTTAGGCCTGCCTTCACTTAGGGCGGGCACATTTGCAACAGGGCCCCTTAGGCCTGCCGAGGAC